ACCTGTTCATCTTCCACAGGGGTTCCCTAAGGCACAGAAGGTAGAAGCAGACCTCAGCAGCTACTCTGTCCCTGCCCACCACTAAGACAGGCCAAAGCAAGAACTTGGAGCATTTTGTCTCAACACTTTCACATTCAACTGATTCAACACCTCTGCATTCAACTGACCAGCCAATTTGGGGAAGACAGACACTTGCTTCTAATGAAAATTGGCAATGACAGACACACACTTGCATGGCCTCATGGCACTGTGTGAGTTTTCAGTCTCCCACCCAGGCCTTTTTTCCTGATCTGATTCTTCGTGTGGGACCAGTAACTCCTTTCCCACAAATGGAATGAAAACCAAAGCAACTACTCAAAGACCTGGTCCTCGGGCTTTCTGCTCCTTTGCTCCTCCCTCACCCCAACCACTGTAGCCCTCCTGAGAAGCCCTTCTCACCTGCAGGGACCAGCCTGGCTTTCATCTTAACTCTCGAGGGAGACTGCTGCTGCGCCCCTATGTGCATTTGCCCTTCGTCCACAGCAGGGTTGCTCAAGCTTTGTGCTATTGGGGTGTGTGTGTGTGTGTGTGTGTGTGTGTCCTGTGCACTGTAGGAGGCTTTGCAGCATCCCTGGTCTCTACCTACTCAATGCCAATGTTACAGGAGCTATGGGGAGGCCCGTGGCCACCCAGCTGACAATCAGATTCCCCTCTCTGGTTCCCAGACGATGACTGGCTGACCCAGGGGTACAGAGGGCTATGTCCCCTGTCTTGAGGAGGGACAACCCCAGCATATGTCTGAACAGGTGCCACTGGCCACTGTGGGCCAGGCTGAGGCTGGTTCTGACTTGAGGCCACATCCTCACTGGACTCTTTCCTCTTTTACCCAACTTGATTCATTTTCCCCCTTGTAGGCTTTTCATATCCTGGGATGGGTTGACTTGTGTCCTCCAGAAAGATGTGATCAAGTGCTACCCACCCTCCCCTCCAAGCACCTCCAAATGGGACCTTCTCAGGAACAGAGTAGAAGCAATGACTTAAGTGTCATGAGGTCATCCTGGGGTAGGGTGGGTCCCAGTCCAACATGACCAGTATCCTTACGAGAAGGGACGCAGGGAGGAGAAGGCCAGGGGATGGCAGAGACTAGAGAAGTGTGGCTGCAAGCCAGGGATGGTCAGAGATTTCCTGCAAAGCATCAGAGGACTTGGAGAAGCTAGGGAAGGAATCTTCCCTATCGGTTTCAGAAAGAACGTGGCCATGGAAACACCTGGACCTTGGCCTTCTAGCATCCAGGACTGTGAGATGACAGAACTCCTGTCCATGGTGCTGGATTATATAGGGCAGCCCCAGGAAACTCATCCATGCCCAAATCCCCGACCAGGGCCCTGCTTCCAGGGAACCCAACCTAAGGCAACTCAAAGAGCAGATTCCAGAGTAAGCACAAGAAAGCACAAGGCGTCCATTCTCCCCTCGGTCAGCATTTCCATGAGTCTTTCTCTGCTGGAGCTCTGTCCCACTAAGTATGAGTCCAGTATTCAAACAGAGATACTGCTCTGACTTGGAAAGGGTCAAAGGGGTCGCCGCTGTGGCATAGAAGGTTAAGCCTCTGCCTGTAGCGCCAGCATCCCATATGGGCACAGGTTCAAGTCCAGGCTGCTCCACTTCTGATGCAGCTGCTTGCTGATGGCCTGGGAAAGCAGTGGAAGATGGCCCAAGTGCTTGAGCCCCTGCACCCAGAAGAAGCTCCTGGCTCTCAAATTGGCCTCAACTCTGGCCACTGCAGCCATCTGGGGAGTGAACCAGCAAATGGAAGATCTCTCAGTGTCTGCCTCTCCCTCTCTCTGTAACTTGCCTTCTGAACAAAATAAACAAATCTTAAAAATAAAAAGGGGGTGGGGGATGAGAGTGTACTCCCCCAAGGGTTCATGTGCTAGGAGTTTGTTGAGTGGTGGTAGAACCTTTAAGAGGTGGGGCTTAGTGGGAGGTGGCACCGGCCCCTCCCACGCTCTGGCTCCCCATCTCTCCATGTGATCTCTCCCCTTCCCAGCCTCTTTCCTCTACAAAGTACAGAAAACAGGAAGACAAAGACTCCAAGCGGCCTCCAAGGCTGATATCATCCACATGTAAAGCACTCAGGTGAAATACACTACCCCCACTCCCAGGCCCACCCAGATGCCCGTGAACACTCCTAACGCATGTCCCAGATCGGAGGACTAACTCAGTCTCTAAGCTGGCCCTGCCAAGTGGTTTTCAGGGGCACATCTGTCCGTTCTTAATAAATCGAGCCTTCATTCCACCTGCATCCTGCATGGGGCACACTGCTACCTTTTTGCTATTTACGAACCTATCTCTGCCATGAGACGAAAATGACGTGATATTCAGTTGATTAATCTGCATAGAGATCCCTGGCACATCATGAAAACTCAAGAAAAAAATAATGCATGAGTCAGAGAAAAAGAAAAAAAAAAAGAGTAACAAGGAGAGGTGAAGAGGAAGAGCACATATCTCTCAATCCACATGACTCTCCCATAAATAGCCATGAGCCCTCATAGAAAACACCCATCTCTGTGAGGAACGAGGCAGAGGAGGAGTTCACGGCCCCGATGTGAGAGTCAAGCCCACAGCGACAGGAATTAACAGCCATAATCTACGTACGTGGCGACCGCACCAGCAACGAGGTGAGACGCCCCATAGTGACAGACAAGTGCAAACCAGGTGCACTTCCCAGGGGTTCCCCTGCTGGAAAGATTTCAACCATGTGCATGCTTCTGGCTCTCAGAGGCACCCCAAGGTCCCCTGGGAACGGAAGGCATTGCCTGCAGTTCACAGGAAAGATGAGAAGCCAGCCCTCCTGCTCCGGACAAACCTGCTCCCACGGTGACATGAGCCAGGCCCGGCCACCCCTCCTCAGAGGGACAGGGACCCAGCAGTCCTGAGACGAGCTCAGCTCCTCTGCTCCCAGAGGGCACAGCAGCAGGACCCAGCATAAACCCTCCCCAAGGACCGCCTTTCCCACGACGGCATCATCCTGATGTAACTACTGCGATCGTGGCTGGAAAACTGGGCGCCGCAGGCTTTCTCTGAATAAGCCCAGCACGGGAGATGTCCCCTCCCAGCAACCGGAGCTGGTCGTAGGTGACACCTCACATGGAATCATCACCTCCACACTCGCCATGTCCAGCCTCCCCAGGCGCCCAGTGGGGCCACCTGATCCTGAACTGTAGCCTCCAAACTGTAAGCTGGAAAAAACCTTTGCTTTCTCAAGGAGCTCCTCTTGGGTATTTTAAAGTAATGAACAGCAAACGGATACAGGAGGGGTGAGAAGGTGAAGTCCAAGCCCACTGCCCTCACATGTCACGCTCACGGCTCCCCGTGGGAAGGCATCTCCCACGGCTGTGTCTGCACTGGCCCATCCCCTGGGACAAGGCAGGAGAGAGAAACGACAGTGATGTGCCAGGAAGGCTTTGTGGCAACGGTGACATCTGTGCAAAGACCCAAAGGCGGCGAGGTGTGTGGATGCCCGGGCTGTGTCTCCAGGGCCTTCCGTCATGGGCAAGCAGGGAGCTTGGCAAGATAAGCCTGAGTTTGTCCAGTGGGTCTCCCTGCTTAAACTGCAGGTTTCTAGATGGTTGAGAGACAGTAACTCCTTGAAAACCCAAGGAAGACACACACCGCGCACCCGACGTATCCTGATTGTGTGCTGGGACGAGCCATCAGCCTGGGGACCTGGCCCTGATGCCGGGGTGCGATGCTGGGAGACACTGCCAGCACGGAGGTCACCACCTCCTCACCCTCACCACTGACCGCCTGATGGCAGCCGCCGGCCCCTGCCTTATTTTGCACGTGTCGATGTCAGGGGTGTCTTCCCCAGCAGGACGTGTCATTGCTAACAGCCCTCAATGACCACTAGGGGTTGGGCTACAAAGGGGTACAAATGTCCCAGCTGCTTCGCCCCTCTGCGGCAGCAGCTTCCCGTGGGCTCCCAGCTTCCCCAGCAGGGTTTAGGTCGGGTTACCCGCGGAAGCAGCCCGGCCAATACCAACACATCCCTTATATGACCTTCCTGGTGTTTTCTACCATAGTGTTGCCTCCCTAATAAACGACTTCTCTTGTCTCAGAGGCTCCTTGGGGAAAACCCCAACTAGGAAAGGGATAATCTCCTAACATCCGAGACGCCCCCCACCCCCACTCCGGCCCTCGGCCCTGACACTGGAACAGTTCCTCCAGCTGTGTTTAAAACCTGCATTCTTAAAAAGAGTGGAGCACAGCTCCGGAAGTCCCTAGTGTGTGTGTTTATTACCAAACACTCCTGCCTTCATCACCCAGGTCTGCTGCTCACAGCCCAACGGCCCACACACACCTCCCACTGGCTACCTACGCTCCCAGCACCCCTCTGCCCACAGCATGTGCACGCTTAGGCTCCAACACACAGCAAGGCCTGACGGCTCCTGGTGACACCGCCTGGCCTGTGGGTGGCTTTCTAAGCAGCCCTGGGCTGGCCGGGGGATGGACGCCAATGGAACGATTGATTTGCCTGCAAAGCATCCATGCCCCATCCTGTTCTCTAGCCTGCACCGTTCTTCTCCCTGTCAAATCAATTCCTGAAAGCCAAAGTGACTGATAGCCACACTCCCGATTAAATCACCCAGCACCGATGGCATACAGTCTCCCAGGGAGGCAGCGGGGTCGGGGTTACACACGGCCCACGTGACAGCAAACTTCACAGGATCATAGGGGCGCGTGCCATACACAGCTGAGTCGGAACAAGGCCCGGTCGAGTGACCCATGTCCTGGCTCGTGTCCTCTGGCCGTCCAGGATGATATCATCAGGGGACATTGGATACACAGAGCACAGGGACTCTCTGCTGCATTTTTGCCACTTCTTGTGGGTCAAAAATTATTTCAAAATTACACAATCATCCCATCTCCCCCTGCCACATGCTGTTTCAATAGAAGAAAGACGGAAATCACCCCTTTTCTCTTGGGCTCCCAGGAGGAGATGCGGCCAGCCCAGCACTTACCTGGGAGCTAGGGATCAGCGCCTTCCACCAGTGCCCGCCCTTCACCAGGTCAACTTCGCACAAGGGCACGGACACTTTGCCGATGACACAGTGGCGCGAGAACTTATCGAAATCCACCACGGTGAGCAGCAGGGTCCTCCTCTGGGCTTCCAGGAAGGGGATGTCGAAGGTGTAGCGCTCCTCAAACACGGGCTTCTGCGTCTTGCGCTTGACCCCCGTCTGCTTCGAGTTCTTCTGGTCGGGCAGGAGGCAGATCTTGACGTAGGGGTTGGAGTGCGCCATGTCCTGGCGCGAGCCGTCGTGGGAGATGGGGGGCGGCAGGTCCCGGGCCTCGATCACCCTCACGGTGAGGTGGTTGTGCAGCAGGTCGTACTGGGTGCTGAAGTGCAGCATGCCCAGCTGGTACTTGGACAGGATCTCCTCGTCCGTCAGGGAGTCCACGTCGTCGCTGCTGGAGTCCAGCGAGTAGAGCCGGGGCTCGAACTTCCGGAAATAGTCGTCGGGGGCATAGGTCCGTCTGAGCACCGAGGGCTGGATAGGCTCCTTCTTGGCGCTGAGCACGCCGAATTCAATGGGCTTGATATCGATGAGCGGGGAGCTGGGGCGTCTCGACTCCAGACCTAGGCAATGGCCAGAAATAACAGTGAACAGGGCCGCGCTGGGATGGGCGTGGCCACGCTGAGATGAGCCTGGCCACTCTGGGACGGACAAGCCCGGCCACTCTGGGACGGACAATCCCAGCCACTCTGGGATGGGCTGGCCATGCTGGGACGGGCTGGCCACACTGAGACGAGCCCGGCCACTCTGGGATGGGCCTGGCCATGGTGGGATGGGCCTGGCCATGGTGGGATGGGCCTGGCCATGGTGGGATAGGCCGGCCATGCTGGGATGGGCCTGGCCATGTTGTCACAGACCCTCCCATTGTTCCCTCTGCTTCTTGGGCTCGCCATGCTTTGAAATAGACTTGCTCCTCTGTATCCACTGGGGGTCTGGTTCCAGGACCCCAGAGTATACCAAAACCTGCCCACACTTGACTCTCCAGGTCCTGACAGAAAAGGTGGGGTGGGGGAGGGGGGAGAGGCTGTGGCCAGTGCCTTGGCTTAGTAGGCTAAGCCTCACTTGCAGCGCTGGCATCCCACATGGGCGCCGGTTCTAGTTCCGGCTGCTCCTCTTCCTATCCAGTTTCCTGCTATGGCCTGGGAAAGCAGCAGAGGATGGCCCAAGTCCTTGGGCCCCTGCACCTGCATGGGAGACCCAGAAAAAGCTCCTGGCTTTGGATTGGCCCAACTCTGGCTGTTGCGGCCATCTGGGGTGTGAACCATCAGATGGAAGACATTTCTCTCTGTCTCTTTCTCTGTCTGTAGCCCTACCTCTTAAATAAATAAATAAAATATTTTTTTAAAAAATGGGGGAGGGCTAGCATTTCCACAGAACCTACACACATCACAGACTGTCAGTCATCTCTAGGGTCCTATGGTGCTTACTGCCACATAAATGCTACGTGAGCCATTGTCACATTTACTGCTTAGGGAACAATGACAAGGAAGAAGATCTGTGCGTGTTCAGCCCAGGTGCGACTTTCCAGAAGCATGTCCCACCGGCAGCTGCGTGGATCCGAGGATACAGAGGGCGGAGGGCACCCCAGGAGTAATTATTCTGCGAGAGGCAGTATGGCAGCACAGCCATCACCGTCACCCACATCACGGACTGCTGCTGTTCTAAAGGGACCGAGGGTGCGAAGCCATTCATCTGCCCGATCCCTTGGGTCAGAGAACCTTTTAATAAGGGGATCTTCCAAAAGTCCCTGGAAAACGCATATTGTTGAAGACAATGTCTGGATTGCAAAATGCTTTGCTTGAAAATGAATTCTTTTAATTGTATTTTCCAGAAACTTTTCGAAGTCTGGCTGTATATCCCAAAGGCTACCCCTTGGACAAGTAACCAACAGAACATTTTAGGAAGCCACTCGAAGTTCTCTTTCCTCCCCCACACTATCTTCGAAGTCCAGCATGTATTTTATACTTGCAGCCCTTCTGGTCGGGCACCAGCTCTGATTCGGTGCCCACCAGCTCCAGGGGGCTGGTGGCTGTGGCAGTGGGAAATGCCAGGCCAGGCTCCCCCCTCCCATTTTATAGATGGAGAGACTGAGGCCTACAGACATTAAAAATGTCTTCTGGCCGGCGCCGTGGCTCAATAGGCTAATCCTCCACCTTGCGGCGCTGGCACACCAGGTTCTAGTCCCGGTCGGGGCGCCGGATTCTGTCCCGGTTGCCCCTCTTCCAGGCCAGCTCTCTGCTATGGCCAGGGAGTGCAGTGGAGGATGGCCCAGGTGCTTGGGCCCTGCACCCCATGGGAGACCAGGAAAAGCACCTGGCTCCTGGCTCCTGCCATCGGATCAGCGCGGTGCGCCGGCTGCAGCGGCGGCCATTGGAGGGTGAACCAACGGCAAAGGAAGACCTTTCTCTCTCTGTCTCTCTCTCTCACTGTCCACTCTGCCTGTCAAAAAAAAAAAAATGTCTTCTATTTCATTATCTGAGCCCTTGACATTTTTTTCTCCTGCCTTTCTCTTCCCCATCTATATCAGGAAATGCTAGACACCAGTTTTTTTCTGTCTGATGGGTGCACTGTGTGGATTTTAAGCTTTTCCCTTCTGTTAGGTGAATCGCACAGACACCAGCTGGGTGGGAGGGCAAAGACACCCTGCGGAGGGAAAGAAAGCTGGGAGCCTCTGGGATTTATCCTCCTTTCTCCTTTCTCCTCTCCACCCAAATCACCTAGGACCCCAAATGTGACCCATAAATACATTTTGTTTAGGTGTAAAAGCAAGGGAACATGATACAAAAACCCAGGTCGTGAGTTTCTCTCTAGAAAGACTGGGCCACCCTAGGTCCCCAATCCACAGAGCTGCCCGGAGCTGGGGCTGGGTAGCAGCCATAAAGGTCCAGTTAGCCACAGTCTCCACCCTGTCCTGTGTGACTCCCCAGGCACAGTATTAGCAGCATCAGAGTGACATTTGTCCGTGCCCAATCCTCTGCAGTCACTCAGCCAACTCAGCTGGGCCCCCAGGTCACCTGAGCTGGCGAGCCCTGCTGTCCACACAGCAACACTCACTCCTCTCACACTGATGTGACCTACGAGGGGGTCTTCATAAACGTCACAGAAATGGGAATTAGGAAAAAGCATGGATTGCAAACACTTTTTACACCAAAATAAGCATGTATTTTCATTTCCCATGAACTTTCTGGAGTGCGCTTGTACGTGACAGTGACGACAAACGATGTCAAGGTGATCAAAATGGTTATCGGTGAAGGCAGAAACCATGCCACCTCCTCCCCAGCAACAGCCCCGCCCCTCGTGGTTACCCCTCCCCCAGGACACCACCGACCTTGGAGAAGCAGCCAGGGCCCCATGGCCCCAGCAGAGGGCTTACTTGAGATCCTCCGGGTCAGGCTGTACGTGGACTTGGATGTGTCTGAGGACGAGCGTCTCCCATCCGGGGAGTTGGTCCGTGGGGTCAGCGGGACATCACTGGCCGTGTGGACAGAGTCACCGTCCTTGTCACTGCTCCGGCTGGCCATCCTGGAGGAAAAGGGGAGGCCTCAGTGGCGTCAAGGGAACCCCAGGGCCTGGCCTCTTGGTCCCTAGGAAGGTACAACCCACAAGTTCACTGTGCTCGGGCCCATGTCCTACAACTTCCAACAATGTCCATTTGAGACAGTGTGGGGGCTAACGCTGCGGCACAGCGGGTGGAGTCACCTATAGCGCCGCATCCCACATGAGCGCTGGTTCAAGTCCTGGCTGCTCCTCTTCCGCTCCGGCTCTGTGCTAATGTGCCTGGAAGGGCAGCAGATGATGGCCCAAGTCCCTGGGCCCCTGCCACCCACATGGGGGACCCACATGAAGTTCCAGGCTCCTGGTGTCAGCCTGGCCCAGCTCCACCACAACCATCTGGGGAGTGAACCAGAAGACAGAAAATCTCTCCCTCTTTGTCTTTCTGCCTTTCAAAGAAATAAAAATAAACCTTTAACAATAAAGAATTAGCGTGAGAATCCTTAAGCTCTCCATGAAGTCTTGGCGTTTTGTACAAAATGTGAAATGCCTGGAAGGATTAGTTCCGTCCCCCTCCCCTCCCTGTTTTCAACAATCTGTCAAAGGATCCGCACACTTCCAAAAGCTGGGGTTGGGTAGAGGGCTGTGCAATGTTAGGCTGCTGCCACGTGGGGGCGCCACTTTGAGCAAGTGAAGACAGAGCCCTGTCATGCTTCAGTCTGGAATGGACTGTGGGGTTGTTTACTGGCCTCCACACTCCAGCAAGCAGCTTTTGGCCAGGGTGTCCTGCTAAGTCACCCATGACTGCATCTTGAAAAGATTTTAACATCTTTCAGAAATATCCCCATAACAGGTGTCACTCAAGGGTTCTTTGAGTGGCAGGGCTGCAGCTGCGAATCAATGATTGGAGGATGGCGGCTCAATGTGAAGGAACGGCGGCCATGACTCAGTGCCCTACCGGGGAAGCTGTGGGAGTGCGGACAGGGAACCCACCCTCCCTGGCTGCCGGAAACACGAATGAGCGCACACCAGCACTGTGCGGGGCAGAGCAGGTGCAACACATTGTGGCTGATATTCTTTATAACAGAGACGGGCTTTAAGATGCCCCAATGCTCACACAGCCAGGGCAGGGTGCCAGGGTGGGGGAAAAAGGAGGAGAGGCTGTGGGCTAGGTTCCCCAGACTGCTCCCCTCAACTGGACATTTAAGCCTGTAGGGAACTCGTCCTGAAAAATGCAAGCTCAGAATCCTACGCGGTCTTCAGATGTGTTTTGTCACGGCCAGGACAAGACCGGGTTTGCTGTCGGGAGGAAGTGGGACCTTTGCTGGCTCCCTGCTCCTCGCCTGTTGGTGGTGGAGGCAGCCGATGAGACATGAGGGGCAGGAGAAGCGGGAGGGAGACAGCGAGTGGCATGGGGTCACACTCTCCCGTCTTCCAAGGGAGGCAGGACCACAACGAAATGCCCCCTGCGCCCCACCCCTCTGCAGGGGCCCCCTTCCCAGCTGCCACACTTCACTACCAAGTCCCCCCAGCCTTCCCCAGGGGCCTGAGGGCCACTGTCATCCGGAGCTCCCAGACACGGGTCATCAAGCCTCCTGCGTGGCCATCAGGCCCCTGTCGCCCAACTGCGCCAGCTCATGCTATTCCTGTGCCTTTACCCAACCTGGTTCCGTCCCATCATTCAGGTTCCGCTTCCAGGGCACCTGCGCAGAGAGGCCCCGCCCCGTCCCCATCGCCTCCTCCGGTCGCCATCAGCCCCTCTCTGTGGCTGCTCGTCTTAACCCTCCACCCTGCACATAGCTCATCTTGGACTGCAGCTTGCCTCCCTTCTGCGGTTGACACTGAGCCCTAGGGGTGTTCACCGCGGCACACCTCAGCCCTAGCCTGCTGGAGGTGTTCCAAATGTCTCTTGGTGGTGAATTTGTGAAAGGACCTCCCCATGGTTCTTGTCTATTTGTTGTCTTATCTATTTGGTGCAGGTCTTGCCCTTCCTCTCACACCAGCATACGGTTCTTATTGGTGGGATCTGCACCTACGATGATCAAAGGTACTAGGTGCTGAGTACCTACTATGTGCCGGCCAGGGTGTGAGCCATCTCATTCCAGCCACCTCCACTCGACTCACAGACGCTCAGTGGCAGCCCCAGGGCGGGTTAGGGGGGACGATGGGTAACCAAGCTGCACCTCTGTTGATCCGTGCATAGAACCCCAGTAATGCCAAACCCAGACAGTGAGTGCCACACATTCCCGTGGGAATCGTGCCACTTTATAGCTGGAAGTGGTTTTCTCCAAGGCTCCCAGCTCGGGTCTGCCTTCTTTGTTTAAAAGGCAGAGAGTGGCCGGCGCCATGGCTCACTTGGCTAATCCTCCACCTGCAGCGCCGGCACCCCAGGTTCTAGTCCCGGTTGGGGCGCCGGATTCTGTCCCGGCTGCTCCTCTTCCAATCCAGCTCTCTGCTGTGGCCTGGGAAAGCAGGAGAAGGTGGCCCAAGTCCTTGGGCCCCTGCACCTGCATGGGGGACCCGGATGAAGCTCCTGGCTTCAGATCAGCACAGCTCTGGCCATTGTGGTCAACTGGGGAGTGAACCAGTGGATGGAAGACCTCTCTCTCTCTCCTCTCTCTGTGTAACTCTGACTTTCAAATAAATAAATAAATCTTTTAAAAAAATACGCTTGCTGGACAAACCAAAGACTTAGCTGACTTCACTCTTCAAGGGTCTTTCTGGCATTGCTCCCCCCCCCAAAAAAAAAAGAAACCAAACTGTTCCATCTCCCTGACCTTCTCAGCCTGGCCTAGCCCAGCCATGGGAAGCTGGGGCCCATAAGCCATGAGCATAGGTGACCATCCAGAGGTGACACACAGCGCATACACAAAGGCCAGCTCACCTGCCACATTTCAGTCCACAGAGGCAAGTCCCAGGGTCTGGGCTCAGAAGCCACAGTAGGAGGGGAGCTGCAAAGCCTGTGGCATTTCTACTCCCTGCCTGTTTGATAACATGCAGCTGCCCACTTGGTAAATAAATCTGGGGAAAACACAAGCTGTACATTTGCTTTTTGACTGATGAGTGTGCCTCTCTTTTACAGCTTTCTCTTACCATTTTGCATCATGTTGAATGCCAAAAAATGGGTTGAGCCTGGAGTTCAAGGGAGACCTGGATCATCACGGAAACCACGAAGGTCACATACAGCTGTTCAGGTTGTAGACTGCACAACCCTGGGTGGTAGTATTCCAAATGGCCACCATGTGACTGGTGCCACCTGCAGTTACCCGAGGTGTTGGCCCTGCAGAGAAAGCCCGAGGCCACTTCTCTGCAGGTGACAAAACAAAAACCCAACCCCTTGATCCCTGAAAAGGAAAGGGTCCTCTACTTGCACAAAGGGGCAGCAGTCAAACCAAAACAGAGCGCCTGTGACCCCGGGGGCGAACAGGTACCCAACTCCGTTTTTCTCAGTGTCCAGCAGGAGTCTCCAGTGGCATAGAAGGAAATCCCAGGTCTTCCTCGGGCATCCACGCTCTGACACTACCCCTCTCCCCTCCCCCCGAGCCTGCAGGCTTTACACAGCCGTGCCCCTGCGGCGTTACCCACCCGGGGCCCGTTCCCTCCTGTGGGTCACAGCACCCAAGCTGTCTCCTACAGGAGCTGGCCAGCTCCAGAGCCAAATCCACTTGTCTGTTCTTGTGATCCAAGTGCTACTGACATGGTGCATCCACTCTTCTGCGCATTACCCAAGGCTGCTGCCCTCTGACACCGCCCCAGCCAGCAGAGGTGACGGACGCCACACGGCGGCCCTTCACAGGAAATGCTCACTCGGCCCACAGTTCACCAGCTTAGCTCAGGGGTTCAGGGGAGGGTGACCTCGCCGTGGTTCCCGGTAAGCAGGAACCCAACACGATTCTGGGACCATTATCTCCAAGGCACAGTGATGGCACCTAGTGACAGGCACATGACCGCAGGCGGCCGATGGGAGCCTTGCTTGGGTGTTTTGTTGTGAAGATGGTAAGATGTGAGTTTAGTGTTGCCCCATGCAGAAAGCAAGCTTAAGAATGAAGCAGGGGCCGGTGCTGTGGCGCAGCCAGTTAATGCTCTGGCCTGCAGTGTTGGAATCTCATATGGGCACCAGTTTGACTTCTGGCTGCTCCACTTCCCATCCAGCTCTCCGCTATGGCCTGGGAAAGCAGTAGAAGATGGCCCAAGTCCTTGGGCCCCTGCACCCACATGGGAGACCTGGAAGAAGCTCCTGGCTCCTGGCTTTGGATCGGCACAGCTCCAGTCATTGTGGCCAATTGAGGAATGAACTAGTGGATGAAAACCTCTCTCTGCCTCTCCTTCTCTCTCTATGTAATTCTGACTTACAAATAAATAAATAAATCTTAAAAAAAAAAAAAAAAAAGAATGAAGCAAATACAGAAGAAACAGAGGCACAAGATATCATTTGAGCCGCTAGATCCAGCTATACCTGAAGCCATCACCCCTGGGTTTTCCCATAACAAGACTCAAGCAGAACTGTCGCCTACGTACACAGGGTGCAGATGGCTACTCTGGAGGGTAACTGGACTTGCAGACTTGCCTTATCTCCTAGACAAGACTCCAAGTGCCCTGGGTGTGGTAACAGGACCCTATCGGGCTCTGTGCGTGTCACAAGGCACTCAGAGTGTACTCGAGGAAAAACAGCAAAGAACTGAGACTACCTTTTCATTGGATGATTGGCACTTTCAGCATTCCATTTTGGCCTGTAGGTTGGTCAGCCGATCGACAACTGTTTGCTTGAGTGAACAAGACACACAAAAAGTCCCACCCTCAGGGAGCTGGCATTCTTGTGAGCATGGTTTTAAAGAGAGCACATGGGCTGTACCAACCTCTGCCGCATGCGGTACTGAAAAATGCTAATTCTCTTCCTTTTTAAAAAAGATGTTTTTGAAGGGCAGAGTGAGAGCGAGCGCGCGAGAGAGATCTTCTATTCACTGGTTCACTCCCCAAATGACTGCAACAGCCAGGGCTGGGCCAGGCTGAAGCCAGGAGCTTCATCCTTGTGTCCCACTGGGTGGCAGGACCCTCAGTACTTGGGCCACCCTCTGCTGCCTTCCCAGGTACATTAGCAAGGAGCTGGACTGGAAGCAGAGCAGCCAGGACTCGAACCGGTGCCCACATGGGATGGTGGCGCTGTAAGCCGCTGTTTACCCTACGGCACAAGCAGTGGTCAGTCCCCACCTGACCTGCCTGCCTGCTACATCCTGGCCATGTATTCAACAAATCTAGCTCTGTGCAAAGAAACCAACCAACCAGAGCTCAGTGCACCACAGCACCAGCCCTGGTAATTTGCTCTTTGTCAATGAGTTTTACCAAATATCCCCGATCTCCATACACCTGTAGGAGTCAAGCCTCAAATGAGGAATAATGGAAGTGTTCCTTAACACGGGCTTCGCATCCATTTCATCAATCTCTATTGCTACAAAGCAAAGAGAGAAGGAATCTCACAGACCCCTTCCTACTGTGCTAAGCGCCTTGCGTACACATCTCCTTTACTTTGTAACAATCCTATACATGCTTCTGCTACTCCCACTCTACAGATGAGGAAACCGAGCCCAGACTAGGGTACGCAGGATGCAGGGGTCCAGCTCGCTGAAGCACGCTCAGCCCTCCCTGCTTGCAGGTTCTGTGTCCGCAATCAATCTCAGGTTGAAAACACTCCAAGGAACATCGTGCATCTGTAGTGTGGATTTTGCTTCTTGGCATTATTTCCTAAACAAAACAGGCAAACAGCTATCCCCTTAGCATTCACACTGCACTGGGGATTCTAATGACCTGGGGGTGATGCGCGGTATACAGGAGCAAGTGCGTAGGTTCTAGGGAACATGGCAGTTTAGGTAAGGGATCTGGGGATCTGCAGGGGCTCTAGAGTCAATCTCTCACAGACGCCAGGGGCAGAGTATCTGAGCAGAGGGGTGGGCATTCGGTGTAGCCATTAAGATGCCACTTGGACTGCCCATTTCATATATCAGACAACCTGGGTTCAAGTTCTGGCTCCACTCCCGAGTCTAGCTTCCTGCAAAGGCACACCCTGGGAGGCAGCAGGTGAGGGCTCAAGTACCTGCCACCCACATGGGAGAACTGGGCGGACTTGGGGACTCCTGGCTTTAGACTGGCCCAGCCCTGGCTGTTGCTGGCATTTGGGGAGTGAACTGGCAGGTAGAAGAGCTCTTTTTTCTCTCTCTCTCACTCTAATAAAAAATACATAAAATTTTTAAAAGTGCGTGCAAAATAGAATTCAAAGATAAAGTATGTTCTGGTGCAAATTTTTGAAATCCACGCAGTTTCTGCCTGGCACACATTTCCCACGAACTTTTGGAGGATCCTCACGCCTTCCACAATCACGCTCATTCAGTCCCTGCAATAGCAACCCTATGAGACAGATACCATTCTTTTTATCTTCCCATTTCACAGAGGGGAAATGGAGGGACAGAGATCACGCCACTTGTCCAAGGTCAACGACCCAGAAAATGGGAGTAGAAATCGGATCTGAACTCCCATAACCTGACCCTGATTCACTTTGCTATGGACACCCTGGATGCTTGCAGAAGCGAGAAGAGTGCGGCACAAGCTCCGACTTAGAGGGAAAGACCTGGCACCAGAGGCTTCTAGAATCACAGCCCACGGGCTGAGCTGTGACAGCTCCAGCTGGGGGTGCTTCAGCCAAGAGAGATCGCAACCAGCGATTGCCAGTCCCTGCCCAGCCCCGGCCTGATGGACTCTTCCCCCGGAACTCTGACCACATCCCTCTCCCAGCCGTGGAGAGATGGACCAGACACGTGGCTGAGAAGCTTCAAAGCTGTGTTCCCAAAATATCCGAGCGACTGGCAGATGGCGATGCTGTATGCGGGCGCGGGAGGAGAGCAAATTGGAAATAAAATGAAAGATGCCAAAGAGAACATAAACAGCGTTGGAGGCCAGGATGGAGCCGGGGGGTGCTTTCCTGCTCCCCTGTTTCTGAAGTTCTTGTGCAGACCAGCAAAAAAAAAAAAAAAAGCCCTTGTTTGTTCATCCCACCCACCAGTCCAGGAACCAATATCCACTCAGCATCTAGCAGGTGCAGGCAACTGGTGATGCTGGCTTGGATGCAAACCCCTAGAATCTGGTCATCCCTTGCAGAAGCCTGATGCACAAAGACCCCTCCGTCCACCTGGGATGATACCCAGTGTTGATTAAAGGTGCCCCTACAGGGCCACCACACACAGCTCACCTCCCTCAAGTCCCAACGTGAAACCACCAGTGTTAGAATCTCCGCCACCAGCTGGTCTCACCAGCCTTGCCAAGCAACACGAGGGCCACAGCTCACAGCCCCCACCAGCGGCAAGGATGCCCATGGCAACTCGCCATCCCCACCCTCATCCACCAAATCCTGCTGCCGCTGCCACCCAGGGGACCCCCCGACTCAGGGAGCACGCAGACCGGAAAGCCGTGGAGACGGGTCGTGATGCGGTTTGACTTACAGCCAGGGCGGGGTCTGAGCGGGAAAAGGTCCCAGAATTTCCACTTCATCCTCACTCGACTGGCAGCAGCTGGACGCACAGCACTTCTCACAGCAGTGCCTGCAGGTCCACCTGCACAGCAGCAGATCAGAGATTCTGGAAAGAAAACCCTGAGGCCACGGGGGCGGGCGGGCAGGCGGGCAGCGGGGAGAGGAGGGAGAGAAGAGACAACACCCCAAATTACAAGCAGTCGACCCGGGCTGAGAGACGGAGACCCGCAGGAGGCGCGTCTCCGTGGCCGAACACTTAGAACAAAATGTTTTCCATGTCTATTTACCCACTGCAGGCACAAAGATGGCAAACAGCGAGTCGCTGGAGCCATTAATAGCAAGCAAAACATTTGCAGGTAATTTATAGTTTATGCGAGCCTCTCTCCCGCCATGTGGGTGGTTTATACAACAACAGGAGGGCTAGACAATATGTTCCCAAAACACAATGAATATTACTTTATCTTTTGGAAAGCAAGGAAAAAAATTTTTTAAAAAATCTCACTGACATGACAGCAAACAGCGATAATCAGACAGGATAAGCCGGGGTGGGAAGGGTACCCTGTGCTACCAATGGGGGGGCTTTTCTTGGGGGCTTCCTTCCGGTAGAAAGAAATGGACCCTGTATGTGCCATCATTGCCATCCAGTTATTGTCTAACGCTCCACACCCCCACGGCCCCCACGGAAGACCCCCAAATGACAGCCAGACATTGCTTAATTCAAAGCCCAGGCAGACCACCCCCCTCCGGGAACCCACCTCGTTTAATGGCTCCAGCTGCCCTTTTAGAGATCGCGATGAGGCCGGGGGCGCAAGGGGGCGAAGGGGTTACAGAAAGAGAGAGACAAGACCAGTTTAGCAATATTCCAGCAACTCACAAAAGAAAAGAAAAAAAAAAAAAAAGCCCAGCATCTTTTCACTTACCATCCTGCGAAGGGAGCTGACTTGCTAACAAGGTGTTGCTATTATCAGGGCTGCTGGTAGCTTCCCGGTTAACCAACACCGAGTAAATGGGAAACTTTAGCATCGCGATGTGCTTTGCACCGTATGCTGTTGTGAATCAGAGCGGGGGACACACAGTCGTGCTGTCCAACGCAGCCACACTTGAAGAGGAGCCCAAGGCTTCCCCGACAGAGCCAGCCACGGGGCCACCCCAGCAGGACACGGTGAGGCAGCATTGCAGGCAGGCACGGACGCCATGGCCCCCCCACGGAGGCCCTACCTTCCCACTGCGCTCCAATGGGGATGGCGGGGAGTTTCACATGTCCACCCACAAGTGGGAGAAATCCAAAAGAAAGCCATGATGTAGGGCTCGTGAAGATGGGAGGGGGCCCCCTCCCTCCCCAACTCCGGGCCCCCTCCCTCCCCAACTCCTCCCCTCTTCTTCCTCCTCCTCTACAAGGCGTGCTGCAAGGCCCCCATCAACCAGGTAAGTTAGGAGTCCTGTCTCCTAGCTAGGACCCAGCCCTGTGGGACTAGAACTCAGAGCTGGGAACCAGGAAGCCTCAGCTGAGTACCATTGCACGTTAATGTGGTTCCAACCTTGCTCCTTGCCTTTTTTTTTTTTTTTTTTTTTTTGGACAGGCAGTTAGACAGTGAGAGAGAGAGACAGAGAGAAAGGTCTTCCTTCCATTGGTTCACCCCCCAAATGACCGCTACAGCTGGAACTACGCCGATCCGAAGCCAGGAGCCAGATGTTTCATCCTGGTCTCCCACACGGGTACAGGTGCCCAAGCACCTGAGCCATCCTCCGCTGCTCTCCCATGCCACAGCAGAGGGTTGGACTGGAAGAGGAGCAACAGGGACAGAATCCGGTGCCCCAACCGGGACTAGAACCCGGTGTGCCGGCGCTGCAGATGGAGGATTAGCCAAGTGAGCCATGGTGCCGGCTGCTCCCTGCCTTTTAAACAAAGAAGGCAGACCCGAGCTGGGAGCCTTGGAGAAAACCACTTCCAGCTAGAATTTAATAAAGTGGCACGATTCCCACGGTGTATATTTTTCCAGTTGCCTTCTGCTTCTATCTCGTGATCCTGGTTTCCTATTATGGTCATAAAACATAAAGTTTCCTTTCCATATGAATTTTAAGTGGATAAAAAGGATCTATTTATAGAAAGCCATTATATCAATATAGTACAGGTGGCACTCCAACGCCTAGTGGAAGGCACTGATCACCAACTCAGCAAAACCAAAACTCAAACCATACAGAGAACAAGACCTGGAAGCGGTGAGGGGCCTCACCTGGCGTCACCACCAGCCAACCAATCATGTGGCTCAGACAAGCGAGGGGCGGGGCGAGGGAGGAGCCTGAGCCTGGCTCACTTATGGAGGGAGCTGCTCCCTACCTACCTAAGCAGGTGTCGCTGGGGTGGGAGCGAACAGATGGCAACATTGCCCACATGCTGCCCAGCTGCAAAATAGAGCACCCCCCTCTGTGGTTTCATGAACACAGGGGGCTTGTCAAGGCCCCAGGGGAACCTGCCTGGCACCAGGTGTTGTCCCGGCAGGCAGAACTGTGCACAAAACCGCCAGAGGCTATGTTCCCTCAGGGGCTCCATTAGAAAGTGCTTTGAAACGCTTAGGATGCCCTGCGAGGGCACGCCCACGGGCTTAACTGAGGGAAGCATTTCCTGGGCATTAGGTGGTCAGAGGAGGACCTTCCACAACCACAAGGAACAGAGACCAGGCCACGGCACGCCCCCACGAAGCACCTGGCTTTCCAAACGCCCAGGTTGAAGACGGGGCGGGGGGGGGGGCGAAGGCCCTCCAGGGAGATGGAGAAGGAGAAGCAGCCTGCAGAGTCCTTCCTCACCCTGGGTCCCCCCCCTCCCCGGCTCCAGCACCGGACACTAATGGGGGAGAACTGGTTTAAGCCAGAAAGCAAGTGGGAGAAGAATGGACGTATTCTAAGCAGAGGTTGGGAAACCATGGCTCGAAGGCCAGAACCAGCCGCAGCCTCAAGCTAAGAATGACTGGCACATTTTTAAATGGTTGAACCAAAAAAAGGTAAATATACTTCTCGATTCATGCCAAAGATATATACTGAAAAAATCAAATTGGTCTCCACAAATAAAGTTTTATTGGCACAGCCACGCCCACTCACAGACTTCCCTTTGTGGCTGCCTTCTTGCTACAGAGTGGCACTGTTGGGTCCAATACCATGTGGACCTGGGGGGAAAAATACTTTGTACTCAGCACCAGACAGAGTTGATACTTTGTTCTAGAAAGAAACCCAGCACCACTGGGCCATCCTCAAGCGTCCTGTGTTTGAGGTCCCATCCTGACTGCTAAGCAGCTGTGTGCCCTTGGACAGGCACTTGATTTCTCTGTGCTGCAGGTGGCCATTGAAAACCGGACATGCCCTCAAAATGCCCCTCTCTCGCTGGACGGTGCACGCAGAGGGGCAGACGCTGTGCCGTCCGCACCTCGTGGGTAACCACCCAAATGTGCGTTGAGTGATGGTGGAAACTTTCAGCCCCCGGTGAAATGTGAGCCGAAGAGACGTGGCCACTCCATGTAGGGGAGGCCACTGCAGAACTCTGGGCCAGCAGGGGAATGGGGAGGCTGCACCAGGTGGACAGAGCAGCTTCCAGGCCCACAGGCTGCCGAGCCCAAGAACAAGATGAGGGAGTGTGGGAGTCCCCCGGGAGCCCCCTGCTGTGGCCGAGGGGACAAGATGTGAGCACACGGGCACCCTGGACGGGTGGAGGAGTCAGGGGAGCCCCTGGCCTTCTCTGCCTGGCTGGGAGGAGCCAGCCCCAGAAAGCAGCAGCTCAACGGATCCGGGTGACCTTGGCGCTGACCTGTCGCCACTCCCCCTCCCACCCCCCGCCCCGGCACAGGAGAAAGGTCTCTAACCAAGCAGCCCGGCCTCCCCCAGTGTTTTCCGCCCCAGGATTCTGGGGGAGTTCGCCTCCGCGCGCCCCCCACCCTGGGCACCCAGGGCCCGGGAAAGACGACGTCCTTGTCCCTTCTGGCCGGAACAGCAGCCTCGGGCTCGCTCCGCCGGCCAATTAGCCGGAGCCGTCACCACGGCAACCGCAGCTGGCGCGGCCCCTCCCCTGGGGTGGGGTGCCAGGGGGAGGGCGCGCGGGGAGGGGGAGAAAGTCTTCCCCACCCCCACTCGCTCCCCAGGAGGCGAGGGCGCGCGAGCCGAGTCCACCTAGGGCCCTCCAGCCTGGGGTCCGGGGGGGTCCCCAGCCTCTCCTCCCGGGGCGCACCGCCGCGGCTGCACAGGTTGCCTGCGCTGGGGCGCCCGTTTTCTCGAGGCAAGTTTGTGGGAGCCCAGCCGGGTGCCCTCCCTTGCGCGCGCTCGCAGCCCGAGGGGGCGCGGCACCCCCAGCCCACAGCCCGGACCTTGTCCCCCCAGCCTCAGCCTTACCTGGATGTACGCCATTTTCGCCCGCGCGCACTCACTCCGGCCCGGGCATGGCGCCGCCACGGCCACTTTGCCCTCGCCAACGCGGGAGGGGGGAGAAGGCAAAGGGGGAAAGGAAGAAAGAGGCAGCCGGGTGGCCCCAGACGTGACTGGCGTGGCTGATGAGCGGCGCCCGCCCCTCCGCCGGGCGCCCCGTCCTTGCCTTTCCCTGCGTTCCGGCTCCCGGAGTCGGGGCTGCCTCGCCGGCTCGCAGATCCGGGGCGCCCAGGGCCCCCGCCTCGGCCTCCCTCGCCGTCCCGCGCTCCCCCGCCCCGAGGCGCTCCCCAGGCTGGGAAAAGGGCCGGGGCGCCTGGGCAGGGAGCCTCGGGCGGCCGCGGGGACTGCAGCGACCCCGGCGCAGGCGGGGCCGGAGACGCTGGGGCCCGGGCGCGCGGGAGGCGGGGGAGGGACCGGGGCTGGGGCCGGGGACGGGGGTGGGAGGGGACGGTGCACGGGTCAGCCCATCTGGCCGGCCAGGGCGCCTCCAGAAAGCAGAGACCCTGGGAGTAGGGGGGCGGGGATGTGAAGCCGCAGAGGGGCACCGTCCCCCGCCGTGGCGTCTGGGGCTGGGAGGATCCTCCCCATCCAACCCTCTCCCCAGACCGGGTTTGGGAAAACTTTATTCCCGCGCCACCCGTCGCGCCTAGAACGGTGGCGGCGAGCTACGGCAGAGACTCCAGGACCTGAGTCCGGAGCTGCGGTGGGCGTAGGGCGCCTCCGGGGGTGGGACTCCGCGGCCGGGGCCGCAGGGGACGCGAGTCGAGAGCCGAGCGTCCCTTCGCCCTAAACCTGCCGGAGTTGCGACCTGGACGCAACAGGTCCAGCCTGGGGCGGCCCGGCAGCGCCACCCAGCGTCCAAGCCCGGCCTCGTGCGCAAGTCCGCCCGCGGGCAGCTGGTGGCCGGCGAGGGCCGTGCGCCCTGGGGCGTGTCCAGCGCGCACCCCGCCGCCCGCCCGCCCGCCAGCCCGCGTGGCCGCAGCGCCCAGCACCCGAGGGCCTCCCAGCCCAAGGCCGCAGAGCTCGCGCTGGCTCGCCACCGCGGGATTCGAGGGCGCACATTGCCCTCCGCTGGTTCTCTTTAAAACGCCCGGCTGGTTCCCGGCTTATCAGCTTTTCCAACGTTTTAACCTCCGGGCGCCTCTCTTGTCTTTTCGCCAGGAAGAAAAATGGGTGAAGGTTCTGCCCCTGCCGGCGCGCCAGGGCTGTTTCCTGGGGACAAGTAAGAAAGTGTCATCCACAAAAGAGGTAGGGAGCGAACGAGGAGGTAGACACAGGTGTGCAGATGGCGCGTGCAAATGGGGCCGGCGTGTACGCCTTTGAGGATGGCGTATTTGTAGCGCCCAGCGTGTGGCGCGTTTAGAAGTCAGCGCTTCCTCTCCTTGCAGGCTCGTGTAGCTCGCTCACCGCTGCACCTGCCGCATCCGCTAGGCGCTCCAAGGACGCTTCTGTTCCCGCTTTGGACCCTTCGTGCCTTCGCCATCCCCCAGCCCTCGGGCCGAGGCCCCGCAGGTGGGAGCACAGGGCAGCCGCACTCTGCACTCCTGTCTACCACTCCGCTTTCTCCAGCCTGGTGGGAAGGGAGTGGGCTTCCTGGAGGAGGAGGTGTCTTTTGGGGCTGGAGAGGGAGGGGGACTTGAGGAAGAGGAGGAGTTGCCAGGTGTTCCCAGGAATAATACAAAAGACTTGTGGGCAATGGAATAAAAACTTATTTCAGTTTTAAAAAATTGAAATCCATGCATACGTGGGGCATTCAAACATTTCGTGGAAATGCATATAGTGAAAAAACTACATATTTTTGCACCAAAACGAACGTGTCTTTTAATTCCATTTTCCGTAAACTTTTTGAAGTGCCCTTGTTATTGTTAGCCTTTTTTTTTTTTAAGTCTGTGAGTCAGGCACCATTTTCCACCCTTTGCATGAATTCATTGTTTTAATTCTCTGGCAGCCATGAGGTAGGCGCTTCCCGATCCCACTCTTTACTTGAAAGGAGACGTAGACCAGGGAAGTGCTTGACTGGGGTGTTTATGGCCTCTAAGGAGCTGGGATTCAACCCCAGACAGCTAACCTCGAACCCTTCCCAGGCCACTGTGTGGAGCTGCTGTATGATTCCTGATCATGGGGGAGATGAAGGAGCCCAGAAGGGTGGGCTTGGTGCCTTAACCCCTTAAGACCTGGAATTGTTGGGGGACACTAAGCACCCCTTCCCGGAGAGAGAAGAGGTGATTTTAGATGGGAATAACGCAGTCCACCTGTGGTATCATCCAATGCTTTAACTGCATGTGAAGCACCTGGCATAGTAAGTGCTTAGTAAATGTTTGCCGAGTGAGTCGATGGAGAGTTGGCAGCTGCCAGGGCCATACCAACTTTCCGGTCAAGTGGTGGTGCCTGAGGGCTGGGCCTGGTTCAACCCCTCCTGGATGGGCGCTGCCATCCTCCGCATTTGACAAAGGAGGTAGCAGAAGTTCTGAGATGGGAGGCAAGGTGGGTTGCTCAAAACAAACAGGTGGAAGCCGGCGCCGTGGCTCAATAGGCTAATCCTCCGCCTTGCGGCGCCGGCACACCGGGTTCTAGTCCCGGTTGGGGCGCCGGATTCTGTCCCGGTTGCCCCTCTTCCAGGCCAGCTCTCTGCTATGGCCAGGGAGTGCAGTGGAGGATGGCCCAGGTGCTTGGGCCCTGCACCCCATGGGAGACCAGGAAAAGCACCTGGCTCCTGGCTCCTGCCAGGATCAGCGCGGTGCGCCGGCTGCAGCGGCGGCCATTGGAGGGTGAACCAACGGCAAAAAGGAAGACCTTTCTCTCTCTGTCTCTCTCTCTCACTGTCCACTCTGCCTGTAAAAAAAAAAAAAAAAAAAAAAACCAAACAGGTGGAAAGGGACAGAGACCAGATAAAAATGCAGATCTGCTCAACCCCAAGGGCCCAGCTTGCTGTAGCAGTGGAGCGTCCCACTTGAGCGCCTGGGTTCAAGACCTGGGTTCGAGACCTGGTTCGAGACCTGGCTCCGCTCCTGGGAGGCAGCTGGAGATCCTCAAGTAGTTGGATCCCTGTAACTCACATGAGTTTTGGGCTCCTGGCTTCAGCCTGGGTCCAGCCTTGTCTGTTGTGGGCACTGGGAGAATGAACCAGAATCCAGGAGGTTTGAATCTTTGCCTTTCGTATATATAAATCAATAAATACATTTTTAAAGAAGTCTCGGGTCTTCACAGCTGCACCACCCCCAGATGAAGGGATGAATAGCTAAGCAGAATAAGAACTTCATCTGGGATGGGGCTGGTGCTGTGGCACAGTGGGTTAACACCCTGGCCTGAAGCACCGGCATCCCATATGGGCGCTGGTTCAAGACCCGGCTGCTCCACTTCCTGTCCAGCTCTCTGCTATGGCTCAGGAAAGCAGTAGAAGATGGCCCAAGTCCTTGGGCCCCTGCCTCCATGTGGGAGACTGGGAAAAAGCTCCTGGCTCCTGGCTTCAGATCAGCACAGCTCTGGACGCTGCGGCCATCTGGGGAGTGAACCATTGGATGGAAGACTTCGCTCTGCCTCTCCTTCTCTCTCTGTGTAACTCTGACTTTCAAATAAATAAATAAATCTTAAAAAAAAAAAAAAAGAACTTCATCTGGGGCATGTCAGAGGCAGAGGCCTCTCTCAGACTGATTCCTTGAGCCCACAGCTCTGTGAGCCCCTCCCTGCCCTTGGCAAGGACTGGACCCAGGCCCCAGCCATGCCTGCTGGGACATGGCAGCTGGCACCCTCACAAACCTCACTGGAGAAGCCTCTAGTCCAGGCGATAGACACAAGCATGCAGCTCCGTGGGACCTGTGCATTGACAGAGAAAGGCCCAGGGGGCTCCATTGTACAGAGTATGATGGTTAGAGAAGGCCCCAGGAGGGGCTGGCATTAATCCAAGTCCCAAAGAACCAAAGGAGGGAGACGACTGTGGACCCCAGTGGTGCTTAGCTGAAGGTTGGATGGATAGACTTCTCGGGGAAGGTGAGTCATGAACTTAGGGAAAAAATTACATCTCCATCATCACTAGCTCCTACCTGAGGTTTATTTAATATTTCCTTCCAGGGCTGCCATTGTGCCATCCCATAGCAGAGTGACAGTTCCAGTCCCAGCTGCTCCTCCTCTAATCCAGCTCCATGCTGATGCCCCTGGGAAAGCAGCGGAAAATGGCCCAAGTACTTGGGCCCCTGCCACCCACATGAGAGACCCAGATGGAGTTCCTGGCTCCTGGCTTCAGCCTGGCCTAACTCTGGCTGGTGCCACCATTTGGGGAGTGAACCAGGAGATGAGAGATCTGTGTCTCTCCCTCTGTCACTCTGCCTTTAAATAAATTAAATATAATTTTTAAAAGTGCAGGCAACAAACCAAAACATTATTAACCCTCTCCCAGTACTTTGTCATCCACAGAAATCTTGTACATTCACCTTACATTCTAGAGCTGCAGAGAACTTGAAATTTCATTTATACTTTTTACCATTTGAATAGGACAACAGTCATTAGGCCCATTGCTAAGTCCTTCTATTTAAGGAATTAATAAAGAAGCACATATATGATCATATTTAAATTTAAATATTTGATCACTACACATCCACATAATTATAATTTCATTACCATCCTATGTATTCTATGGTTTTTTAAAAAGCTTTATTTATGTTATGTGAAAGAGTTACACAGAGAAGGAGAGGCAGAGAGAGAGAGAGGTCTTCCATCCACTGGTTCACTCCCCAGTTAACCGCAATGGCCGGAGCTGTGCTGATCCGAAGCCAGGAGGCAGGAGCTTCTTCCAGGTCTCCCACGCAGGTGCAGGGGCCCAAGGACTTGGGCCATCTTCTACTGCTTTTCCCGACCGCAGCAGAGAGCTGGATGGGAAGTGGAGCAGCCAGGAGTGGAACTGGTGCCATATAGGATGCCGACATTTCAGGCAATGGCTTTACCTGCTATACCACAGTGCCGGCCCCCTATGATTTTTTAAGACATTGTTCTGAAATGGAATCTATGGGCTTCAACAGGTTTCCATGGCACAGGAAGGTTAAGAACCCCTGAACTGGGGGTGGCGCTGTGGCGTAGCGGGTAAAGCTGCCGCCTGCAGTGCCAGCATCCCATATGGACACTGGCTGCTCCACTTCAGATCCAACGCTCTGCTATGGCCTGGGAAATTAGTAGAGGATGGAAGACCTCTCTCGCTCTTTCTCTCAATAAATCTTAAAAAAAGGAACCCCTGAACTTTTGAGGGTACTTCAAACAGTTCATGGAATGAACTTCCATGAAGTTTTTTGAAGTCCCCTGGTAGCATGTGCGTAGCTTAGAGGTGAAGTGGCTGGAGAGTGGGAGAGCAGGGCCAGGTGAGGTTCAACAGGGAGCTGGGGAGGGCGTCAGGAAGGAGCAGGGTCAGAGTTTGCAGGGGTGATGTCGTGGTGCCGTGGTAAAGGACCCGCTTGCAGTGCCTGGCTCTGCTTCAGATTCCAGCTTCGTGCTAGAGAATACCCGAGGAGGCTCAAATATTGGATCGCTGCCACCTGCGTGGGAGTTCTGGGCTCCTGACTTTGCTGTCACGGGCATTTGGGGAGTGAACCAGCAGATGGAGGGTCCCCGTCTTTCTCTGCCTCTGTGTCTCTGCCTTTCAAATAAAAAAAAATGTAAGAAAATTATTTTGGCAGGATGTGTGTTTGTGAGTGTGTCTGGCTGGCTGGCTGTGGGCATGGGGGCAAGGGAGGCCAGTGGGGAGGCTGAGAAGTGAGGTGACAGTGCGTGGTGGGCGATTGTGGGAGGTAGAAAAGACTGGAGCAGGACGGATCTGCGGGGGCAGGAGAAGGAATTGTGTGTGCGGGTCCGCCGGGTCTCCGCCAGGGCTGGGCGGAGTATGCCGAGTCCCGGGTGTGTTATCTAGTGTTCCTGAAAGACATCCGATTCCGTCCAGCTTAGCCGAAAAGGAATTTATGAACTTGTTAACTGGGAAGTCCAGGGGGCAAATCCTATAGGCATGATGGAACTAGGGGTGCAGTTAAAGTCGTAAGGGCTCCTTCTCTCTCCCTTCCTCCCTCTCTCCCTCTCCTTCTTTCCCCCTCCCTCCTTGCGTCCCTCTCTCTCTCCCTACCTCCCTCTCTCCCTCTCCCTCTCCTTCTCTCTCTCCCTCTCCTCTCTCTGTCTCCCTCTCTCCCTCTCTTCCCTCCCTCCCTCTCCTCTCTCTGCCTCTCTCCCTCTCCCTCCTTTCCTCTGCCTCCCTCCCTCTCCCTCCCTCTCCTCTCTCTGCCTCTCTCCCTCTCCGTCCTTCCCTCTCTCCCTCTCCCCCTCTCCCTCTCTCCCTCCCTGCCTCCTTCTCTCTCTCTCTCTCTCCCTCTCCCTCTCCCCCTCCTCTTCTCAGCTTCCTTCTGAACATTCCATTCTTTTTCCTTGGAATAGGTTTGCTTCACATGGCAGAAAAATGACCACTTAAAAGTTTCTATGCTTGCAGTTTATGTTTCAAAAGGAAGAAAGACTTAATATTGAATTACGGAAAGCCTCAGTCCTGCTAAGGTCACGCACACACACACGCATGCATACACACGCACGTGCACACACACACGTCCGCTGTGTCCAGAGGACCCAGTACTCTGCTTGAGTCAGCCTGGCCCACATGACCAGAGATTGGGGGGGCATCGTGAGCCATGATCCCACCAGGACCACCCAGGGAGGTGGAGGCACTGGTTCCCTAAGAGGGGCTGGGAGACAGAAACATGCCTGTGACAGGTGTTGTGGACCATGCAGGTGGGTCTGCCCAGTGGGCAGCGTAGAATGGTTTTGGAACTCAGCTTGTCTTACATAGACACTCAGAGCTGATGGCCAGGGAATGAGGCTTCTGTCACCTCCCCTGGCCACGTCTGAGCCCCTGTCCATCTCCAGCTTCTAAAAGGAACAAGCCCTCTCTTTCCTGCTGAGAAGGCCCAGCCCTGGGTGGCAGGCGCCTGCACATAATAACGGTCTTCTCTTGGGAACCCTTAGTGAGGTAGTTAGGAGGCAGCACAGGTCCCAGCCCTGGGCACACCGATGATAATTAACAGTGCCACGATGCCACAGTGGCCACTGGCTCCCAGAGGGACAACACGGGTCCTGGGGAGGTGACTTGCTATTTCTGCTCTGCCAGCTGGTGGCATTTGTCTCCTAAGTCAGCCTTAATTACACAGCTTCCCGATCCTGCCCCTCAGATCCTGTGTCAGCTACCCCAGCTATGCCTGGGCAGTGTTTCCAAATGACAGGGAGGTAAGTCATGGCCAGGCTCACTAAATAGCTCATGGGAAATCTTGAAAGGCAGCCACCTGCTGGAGTCTGATTCCAAAAATGGGCAGACAGGAGGGCGTCACTGTGTGTAGGAGCCGGGCCCTCTCATCTCCACCCTCTCCAGGGGCAGGGTGGTCTTCTGGGAGCAGGGCATCCAGTTCCTAGCCCAGCCCTGCCTATGTAACAGCTGTGCAACCTCGATGGAGCAAAACCACCTCTGCAGGCCTCAGTTTTCCTCATCTGCAGAATGGATGCAACACTTAGTCTGTTTGCTGATGCTATAATGAGATACCCAAGGCTGGGCACTTTGTCAAGAAAAGAGGTTGATGGGGCTTCCAGTTCTGGAGGGTCAAGGGCGCTGGTGAGGCCCTCATGACAGATGGCACACGTGCAGGAAAGAGGGAGAGATCACACAGCAAGGCAGGAAGCCCGAGTGCAGGAAGGGGTCAGCCAGGCCCTCCTGCTGGGCCCTGAATCTTAAAGGTCTCACCACATCTCCACATCACCGCACTGGGGATGTGCCTCCAACACATAGTCCCTTGGGGCCACCTGGAACTGTGTCCAAACCACAGCGGCGCTGCCCCGCTAGGGCTGGTGTAGATAAAGCAGACGAGAAAATCGCCTTTGAAACAACACACTTGGGGGTCTCTCTTTCTCCCCCCAACCCCAAGCATGCATTTCATTTGCGCCTGTTTCCTCCATGACTAGGAGGTCAGCAGACACGTCTCTTGGGGGCGAGGATCCAGCTGGCCAATCCGTGTTTATCCCACGGCACAGTGCCTGCCACCAAGGAGGCACTGAAGAAATAATATTAATAGTTTTTTTAATTTATTCAAGAGACAGAGAGACACATAGACAAAAACAGTTTCCATTTGCCAAATGCCCGTGATGGCCAGGACTGGGTTAGGTCAAGGTAGGGATCCAGCAATCCAATGCAAGTCTCCCACGTGGGTGGTGGAGACCCAACTGCTCGAGCCATCTCCTGCTGCCTCCCAGCATCTGCGTTGACAGGAGGCTGGAAGTGGGAGCCAGAGCCGGGAATTGAACACAGGTTCTCTGATCTGGGATGCAGGCATCTTACACGAAGCCAGTCATGTGCCCCACTTTATTCTTTTCAAACTATGAATGAGGATAGCACTTTTGGGGCGCGGCAGGTTAAGCCGCCCCTTGCAACACCAGCCTCTCATCTCGGAGTGCTGGTTCAAGTTCTGGCTACTCTGCTTCTGACCCAGCTTCCTGTTCTTGCACCTGGGATAACAGTGGAAGCTGGCCCGAGAACTTGGGCCCCTGCCGCCCACGTGGGAGACCAAGATGCAGTTCCTGGCTTTCCTGGCTGCTGGCTTCAGCCTGGCCCAGGACCGGCTGCTGCAGTCATTTGGGGAATAAGCCAGTCGTCGAGACATTTCTCTCCTTTTGTGTCTTCCTCTCTCTCTCATTCTGCCTTTCATAAATAAGTACGGGCCGGCGCCGCGGCTCACTAGGCTAATCCTCCGCCTTGCGGCGCCGGCACACCAGGTTCTAGTCCCGGTCGGGGCGCCAGATTCTGTCCCGGTTGCCCCTCTTCCAGGCCAGCTCTCTGCTGTGGCCTGGGAAGGCAGTGGAGGATGGCCCAAGTGCTTGGGCCCTGCACCCCATGGGAGACCAGGAGAAGCACCTGGCTCCTGCCATCGGATCAGCGCAGTGCACCGGCCGCAGCACGCCGGCCGCGGCGGCCATTGGAGGGTGAACCAAGGGCAAAAGGAAGACCTTTCTCTCTGTCTCTCTTTCTCACTGTCCACTCTGCCTGTCAAAAAAAAAATAAATAAAAATAAATTAAATAAGTACGTAAAAAATAAGTACATAAAACTTATACACACGCAAGCACATCACACAGATAGGTTGCTACTATTACTAGTATCTGCAACAGGTACTTTGTTTACCCCGAACAGTTTTCCTCTTTGGTTCATGGCCAAGACTGAGAAGACAAGCAGACTGTGCACAGACAGAGGGCGCCGTCTTGTTCAGCTCTGCTCTCGGGCTCCTCTCCCAGGGGTCCTGAGGCAGGGGGTGTAGGAGCAGGACCTGGGGATCTGCAGCTTCCCGGGAGGTGCAGGTGCAGGTGCCTTCAGTGTGACCCTGACATTAGCAAGCTAGGACACTAACAGGCTTCCTACCTAGGACAACATGCACCCCCAGCCAGGCTGCCCCGTGAGTGTTGTCCCATTCGCTGGAAGGGGTCGGGTGGGAGCTGGCGTGAGGTTGGGGTTGGGTCGTGCCCAGAAGCCCTGAAGATAACTGACTCACCCATGAAGCTTGACCTCCAGCTGATCCCTGTGTGCTGTCCGACTTCTCTTCTTCCTGCCCGCCGCCTGCTGGCATTGCTCCTACGGCTCCTGCTTAGCTGGTGGAGTCTGATGGGCTGTGCTCTGAAAGCCCCGGAAGCCCGCACCCCATCCTTCCTCCAGCCCCCATACTGGCTGCAGAATTTCCACTCCATATTCCCCCAGCTGAGGCTGGTTGCTATAGTCGGCCAAACCCTTTCCACCCCATGATTCGGGAGAGGGTAGCTCATTATTTAGTCTTTGAGAAAGAAAATCTGAGGGCGATTTAATAATGGGCTGCAAACATATGAGGGGTTATTAGCAGGAAGCTGGTGACCACCTGTTCCCTCTCTCGGCTACAGCCAGGAGGGCCAGAGATCTGATTTAACTGCAGAAATAGAAGGACATGTCAGGGGAGGCAGAAAACGTGACAGTGCGGCTGTGGTTTCAAGGGGCAGCATAAAATCACGAAATCTGCTTTCCTACGATTTATGACAAGGACGGGAGCTCTGGGTTGGATGTGTCGTGTCTCCCGGAGGCGGGGAGGAGGGCCTGATGCTGTAAGCAACGTCCAGAAAAGCGTTTTGTGTCTGACTCAGCCCTGATCCCAGGCAGCTAGCTGGTGCACTAGAGACCCGCGGTGCTCCGAGCACGGCCCCTGGGCTGCCTTTCCTAGAAATGCAGACGTTCAGAACCCATCGCCTGCCAGCCGGATCAGAACCTCCGGGAGTGGGACCAGCAGGCTGTGCATCAGCAGAGCCTCCGGATGCTTCCGAGGCCGACTGAAGTGTGGGAACCCACCTTGGCCGCGGGTGCCTCACCTGCAGATCTCATTCTGGACAAATTTCCGAGTCAGAAGGGCCTGCCACTCTGCATTTCTGACAAGTCCTAGGTGACGCTATGGCTGCTGGTCCACGAGGTAGAACAGGTGCATTTATCCCTGCACACACCTGTGAGCTCAGCTCATTTCCAGTAGCAAAGAAGAAAATACCAGAAGGCATAGATAGGCCCTGTCCACAGTCAGGCATAGCACACCATGTGGGGTCTAACAGGGACTTGGCCATTGACCAGTGTCCTTCAG